TTAAGATCAGGTTAAGGTTAGGATTAGGTTAATGGTAAGTTCGGCCTAAGGTTAGAGCTACAGTTAAGAGTTCAGGTGGGTTTAGGGGTTAGGGTTTAATTTAGGAGTTAAATCAAGGGGTAAGGTGTGTTCGTGGGTTACGGCATGTGCAGGGCTCAGCATGGTCAAGGTGCGGCGTGGCGTGGGCGTGGCGTAGGCTCGAGCGAGGGCCGATCATCGCCGCTTGCTTATTTTATTTTTGGTTGTAGTTAGAGTTTCCACCCCCTCATCCAGATTTTAGATCTGAACACGAGGGGTCCAACTCTGAAATGTATCTAATTAGTACAAAGGATGTAGGGAAAGAGGGGTTCCTCCCTCTCCACACCCTTCGGACTAATTAGCTGGAGTGGGCTGGGTCTACTCTTCTCAACTGGGGCAGCAGCAGCTGCAGAAGAATCTGGAGATGGCTCTAAAAGCGCGAGATAGCAGCGATGGCTTTTTCTTGTTGTGGACCTGGAGGTAAAAGTGAAGCAATTGTACAAGCTTATCCTCAAATGTATGGTCCTTTTCATCCAAGGCACTTTGTAGCATTGCGGTGTTCGAGCCATATAATTCCAGAAGAACTTTCCTTACACTATCAATTATTTGACTCATGTTCTTTTCAGTTTGCTTAACTTGATCGTCTGATAGCTCTATCTGCTCCCAAGCTTTTTGAGTTAAGCGAGTCAAGATGAATTTGTAAGTCTTATTCTCAGGACGTAATATCAGTTTGCCCTTAAACAGTGTTACCAACAAAGCCGTAATCAGGTACTGAGTGAATGACTGACTGTGTGACAAACAAGACTCTCGGGAGGAAGTCCCAAGAGAATACTGTTTTTGCTGGTTTTGTGGTGGAGTTTTCAGGACAATGGCTGGAGGGTCTGCAGGGACAAAAGAAGGAACAACCGCTTGGGGATGCATCATGGACTTCTCAAACAAGTCGTACTTTCGGCTGTTGAAAGACTTCGACGAGACTTGAGGTGCCATGGAGACGTGTGAAGCTGCAGAGTCTTTGAAAGGCAGGGAGACTTGGGAAACTACGGGAAGTTTCAAAACGGTAGATGTGGAGGACACCAGACCAAGTTGCTTTGCCTGGAATATTTCACAATAGTGCATTAAATTTATCTATTTAACTTTAACTTTTATTCTTTTCTACCAATCTGGCTTGTAAATGAGTCTGGTTGGTGCCACATGCTCATATCCATAGAGATAAATAAGCTTAAAGGTCCTGCATTATACAAAATTAACTCTTTAAGCCATGTGATAATGTTGTTACCTCCTGAAAAACGTACCTGGTGTTGTGTTTTGTTTCATTCACACATGTTTTAGTAATCCTTTATTATTAGCCTGTCTACATCTCCAGAGCTCAAAATAACTGCAGGGTTTGTGTGTCAAACATGTGTAAATGAAACAAAACATGACTCCAGGTATGAAACATTATAAAGGAGATCAGAAAAACAATTGGATATTTGTCGAGAAAAGCAGACTCCATCATAAGTTAAAAAAGTAGACCTTTAATGTAAAACATATTTAGAAATTAGACACTTAACATATTAATAACAAGATTTAATTTTTTTCTAATTTTGGGTTTGGTGTTTGCCTGCCTGCTGATGAGAGGCATTCGGAGTGGCTTGAAGTCATGTGATTTTAGTAGTGTACTGTTGTCCTAACTCAGAAAAGCAGACTCCATCATAAGTTAAAAAAGTAGACCTTTTAATGTAAAACATATTTAGAAATTAGACACTTAACTTATTATTACATATTAATATGTATAATGTATATATTTATTTCTATTTTTTTCCTATTTAACGTTTTCTTTTTTTTGACTTTTGACGCTGACCTTGGTGTTTGCCTGCTAGCTGCTGATGAAGAGGCATTCGGAGTGGCTATGAAGTCATGTGATGTTTTGAGTAGTGTGTACTGTTGTCCTAACTCAACGTTTAAATTCTAGTTTCGTAAAAGATCATTTCAATGTTCAAATCTCACCGTCACTTTGCACAAAAACATTTTCTTTTGCATTACCAATATTGTTACAAAAATGCTTCTAATTGGTCCTTTGAGAAGTTTCAAGTTCAAAGTATTTCAAGTTTCAAGTTCAAAGTTTCAAGTTCTGTATATTTGTGTAGGAGGAAAGATTCTTTTATGTTAGACACTTTATAAGGTTATTGGGTTGTGGTGGTTGCTTTACTATTTTATTAAAAATTGTTAAAGGAAAAAAATGTGGTTTTATTTGAGCACAAAAATCACTCAAAACACCAGAAAAATAAGTTTTCAATTTTATAATTTGGCACAGCAACAAAAATACATTCAAAAGAATAATTTCACAGAATATATACACCTGAATATGAAATGCATTGTACTTTATGGACAAAAGCACAAACCAAGCCACCAAGCCTTTGATCAAACAGACCCAGAAAATTAAATTAAATATTGTGTAAGTGCACAAGCAGGTAAATCGCAAACAATTTCAAGTAAACATCAAATAAAGTGCTTCTGCCTTTCTTTTTAGAGAGCTCCAACTGCTGTGTCGCACTTTAACCAAAGGATGGTCAGTATCTATTTAACATCTAGCAGAAGTCACTTAAGAACATGAATGTCATTGCAAATTGTGTAATTCTTTTACACAACATATTTAATCGAATCTAACCTCTAGTTTCTTAACCCAAAACCACTAAAATTCTTCTTTCACATGCTGTTCACGTTGCAGACAAGATACACAAGTAGGGGCAAGCAATATTAAGAAGAATAAATATATAAATTATTTTTAATACTGAAAAATAATGATTTAAATGTCTTAGTTAATGTTTAAGTATTGCACTTAAGGTGACTAAAATTAATCACACAAGTGCAAAAATATCACCTTTTGTTTCAATTATTATTTTTGATAATTTTTTCTTCCGGCTTTTTGATGGTTTTCTCATAGATTAATATATATTACAAGCCAGTTCCTTATTTTTGCTTCCTACATTTTGTATACATACAGAAGACATCACATATATGAAGTAGCATATGTGTAATTATGTAGTAAAAAAATATATAAAATATTTTTTCGACGGAGCAAAGGGTGGCTACTTTGGGTATTTGAATATATAATATGCTGCAGGTTATTTGATGCTTTCTGTGTGTATACAAAATGTAGAATGTAATAAAAATAAAGACAAAAAAACATTGAATGAGATAGGTTGCCCAAAGTTTTGACTGGTAGTATAGGAGACTAATTTCCAATAATTTTATCTTGAAGTCAATGCTTTTAGATACAAAGCAAGATAGCTATATTTAAAATATGATAATACATTTGAGGTAAAGGCATGTAACAATTCAGTGCATGTGGTAAACAAAGGAGGCATTTATGAGTCATGAATATATACGGTAAGTGAAATAACTGGAATGTGTCTGAGCAAATTTGCTTGTCTTATTTGAAATCTACAAGCATTTTTCAAGACGACTACCTTTTTTTTTTTTTTTTTTTATCTCTATGATAAGTAATGATACGTACATGTTCAAGATAGTGTGGCACAAGTAGCAAAAACAGTGAATAGCAAAAAGCAAAGATTCCATTAATTCAGAATATACCCAAAATCTATCAAGATTGTGACTTTAAGATGTTAACTAATTGAGTCAGGGTTCATTCAGTAGTCATTTTACGGTGTAGTATAGTTATAGTTATAGTTACAGTTACCGTACACTTATATTGACTTGGCTATGGCTGTTGAACAAAATGGCATATTTTTGCCAAAAATATCTGATTTATAACTTTTGAAGCCTATCTCAATATGTTGTGTTGTGAAATGCCACTTAACATTCAACTGTTACAATGTAAAAATCACCTGGTAATTACACAGAATGTTTTTGGATTCTACTTTACATACACCTTATGTACAGAGACACAAAAGGTTAAAGAAGACATATTAGGCACACATTTTGTTCATTGTAAACGGCAATCTTGCTTGCTTTTATAATAGAAACAGGTGCAATGACTTCTGTTAGACTAATTCTCTACTGCAAGTTACCATAGCAAGCAGGGACGTTTGTATAATGTATTTTTGTTTTTGAAAAAGTGCGGAGCCATGGGCAGGGATAGAACAGTGCTGAACAATACAGGACTACTCAAACATGCAAGAATCAATCTAAATACAACTCTAAATGAAGATAATGATCAATGAAAACCATTATAACATGGTTAAAAAATTTTGAAAGTTGTTTTGTGCATTTTATGTCTCCTTTAAGGTTTAGGACCTTTACACTGTTCAAGCTTAAATTCTTGGCTTATGCTGATAGTTTCCTTCCTGTCAGAGTAGTCTGGCCCCGTGTGAATAGTTGGCTGATAGAAAAACAATGTTGTGCAAAAGCAATGACACTTCTGACTCTGCAAAAAAACAAAAAAAAATAACAAGATAAAAAACATATTTTTTTTTCTCGTGTTATTGTACTAAACAGAACAGAAATTTACCTTTTAGAGTAGAGGAAACCTGAAGCCAATGGGACAACCATTCACGACACTGGTAAGCATTGAGGCTGTCAGAATTAAGCCCTCTTAAATAACAAGCCTGGGAACAAAGAAGAATCAAATTTATTTGCAATATCAATGTGTGACCTTGAAATATTAAGTTTAAATTTTGTATTTTGTTATTTATTTCAAGCATGCACAATAGTTAGTTATTTAGTTAATTAGTTATTTTAAACCTGCACATACAATTCACATGACAACATAACAATACAGGTGCAAATACAAACATTCATGGTTTGAAAAGGGGATAGATGAAGTAAACATTTCCAACCCCCCCCCACACTTCACAGAACAGCATTTCAATTATACATGTGCAATATACATGACAAGAAAAAAAAAACACACTCATCCAGACACCACACTGGCCCAGCACTCTGACCCTCCCCCTCCCTCCCCCTGACATCATGCTCTGTGCTCAGGACATCACTCACTCTCCTCCAGGTATTTTTTTCATTGTTTCTCTTTTAAATCATTTTTTAAACTAGAAGGTTCCTACACACCTTCAGTTCTTCTGATAATCCGTTCCACAGATTAACTGCACGCACTGAGATGCACATCGACTTAAAAGTAGTTCTAAATTTCATCTTTTTAATTAGCTGGAAGAGAGTTGATCAATGCCCTGAACATAATTTGAGCTGTTTTAAAGTTTACCAGATCATGAAGTTTTAAATCTGATGATTTTAAAAACAGTGGGTTTGTCAGATGCAGATAGAGGACCTTGTGAGCAATCCTGATGGCTCTTTTTTGCAGTGGAATTAAGGGCAGTAAATGAGGCTTAGTCTCATTTTCCCCACACTTCAACACAATAATTTGAATACGACATAACAAATGAATGATACAATAAAAGTAGTGCATTCTGGTTCAGTAAATGACTTGATCTTCTCATTACTCCCAACTTTTGTCCGCAAGTAATTTATAGAAGGTGTCCACGTTTTCTCATCTATTATAACTCTCAAAAATACATTCTGTTCAACTCTATCAATACATGTGTTAGCAATGGTTATTTGGACTGATATGTGACTTTTATGATTTCCAAATAACATAAGTTCAGTTGTTTTTTGTTTTTTTTGTTTTTGTTTTTTTAATTCAAAGATAATTTATATTTATCAAACAGTTTTTAAAAAAATCTATATATATATATTTTTTTTTAATATCCAAAAGAAAAATCAATAAACATTATTTACAGTACATGGCTGTAGACCTCTTCATTAATAAGATTGATAATTGACAACTGACTCACAATCTCAATTAAAATTTGATTAATTACACAGCCTTAACATAAAGTTTAATAGACACAACCAAACAACCCAACGATCATATTACAAATTCTAATCGACCTTTCTGACACATGGTTTAAAAAGCATTTTTTCAGTGTTCTCACCTGTCTGAGCTCAGTGTCACTGAGCTGGTGGGGGCCCAGGCGGCTCAGGGCACGGTCCAGGTACAGAAGCTCCAGAGCGTGACTGTACAGTCTCCGACCCACCATGAACACAGGCAGGTGAGGGGTGAGGAAGAGCAGCCGACTCAACTGTCTCTGCAAAACCACAAGTTGCATATTTTCTGATAACTTTTCTTATTGTTAGTGGATACCAGAGGATCATCAATTTGTGGTTTCATAGTCTACAAATTTCTAATTACATTTTCTGCATGCAGTCTATGGACAAAACAGATTGTTTGGTGATTAAGTCTGACCTTTGCAAATGCTCATGTTAAAATACAGAGCAACTGATAAGCACTGCTGTTTTGTGATTACACTATTAAATTACACTAACTCAAGATTCTGTACTTGTTTCGAGGCAAAAAATTTCCTTTTGGCTAAAAAGTGCAAACATCAGCCTGATAGGGACACTTCGACTAACCTTTTGTTCTGTGCGCATCCTTTTTATGCCCAGAGGAGGTCCAGAAAAAAGGCTACGGACAGCGAGGATTTCAGACACTTTGGGAGTGGATCCACTTTGCACCTGTAATTAAACCAAATACAATAGAAAAGTGAAGGCTTTAGATATATATGCATGTTGATATATATATATATTTTGAAATATATGCAGTTTTAGAATTCATCATTAGGTTAATCTTTCCCTTACTTTAGTATATAGGTCTTTAAGGCTCTTTTGTAAGGGTTTATCTTTCACTTTGCGGTTTGAGTGCTCCAGTCCTCTCAGTACAGAGGGATAGTGCTGCACTCTCATTGAATGATAAATGCCCCGAAATGTGACCTGCTGCTGTGGTGTCCAGAAATGAGGGATCAGTATCTGCCGCGGGAAAAAGTACCTGTTCAAGAAAAAATGAATAAATAAATAAATCATTACAACCGTAATGTCAGTTGTTACAGTTATTCTGGGTAAAAAAAAAACAAAACAGTACAAACCAAAAGAAAAATAATATCTCTCCAAAGATTGGATTTATGGAGAGATATGACCTTTTTTGAAATGGATGCAGTTAAGTTTTGCTTTTGATGTCAGAGCAAGGTGGGACTGGTATCAAAAAATTAATAATTTGTGATTTTCACAATTTTGGAGATCAGCAAAATTAGAATATCAAGTACATTGTCTGTATTTAAGAACTGTTTGCAAAAAGGGCAAAAAAACCCAACAAAAAAACAAAACAAAAAACTTGTAATGTTCAACCCCCCCCCCCCCCCCCCCACACACAGTATTGCCATTAATTTCGCGTTTGTCTTAATATTTTACTTTGCGCCATCTAGTGGTCAATCACAATGTGGAACAAAGTATAATAGAAAGTTCCGCCCGAACCTAATTAACTGCGCACCTTGCTGTCAACGCATTGCCGCGGACATGTGAATATCTCCGTATATAACGAAGGAAATTTGAAGCAAGATAAACGATTAGCCCCCTCGTGGATGTCAGCCCACGAGGTTTGTGTGCTTTATTATTATATTGTATTATATTGTAAGGTGCAGAATTGATTTTGATGTTTTATTTATTGTTTTCTTTGCTGCCAGTTCTCACGGGTTGTGAAGATTGAATAAACCCTGTTAAAAAACCTCGTGCTCATATTCATTCCTTGAGGGGTGCTACAGCCATGTTAATTTCCACTAATTCTGTCAGAAAAGTGGACAGATGTGTTTGAAACCCTTTAGGCCCTGCCTAAACATACTGTTAATTACATTTATTTAGATGGGAGACTTACATCAAGACGAAAACTAGATAATTTGCAAATGGAGGGATGGAGATCAACACCAGTGGAATAGATTTAATCAGATCTCTGCGAAACTGACAAAAGAAAAAAACATTTCAATGCACAATCATTTATGGTTAATAGTGAATAAATCACTACATTTACACATTACAGTGACATCATGCTGGAAAAATGCAAGAAAACGCAAGTAAAAAATAGATTTAAACTGCACATTTTCAGAAGCCTGTGATCAATATATGGTCCTGTTTAGTGGTTTGATTTTCAACAAAAAAACGAGACGTACAAAGTGTTACTAGCAACAGGTAAACAAATGAAGTACTGTTACGAAGGACTACCTTCAACTAACATAGAAATAACTAACTTTGCTAACATCCATGGACAGCCAAGCAATGTCAGATTTTAAAGTGAACTATTTTCACTTGATGGGATCACGGAACAGCTCGGATCAGCGTCTTCCACTGGTTTAAATAGAACTTATAAAGGTTCCATGGCAACAGTGTGGTTGGCTGCTTTTGTAGCTACTTGGCTCACAAGCTGAGCAGATTTTGAAACTTTTTGTTTTTTGAGCTCAGTTTTTAAAATCCAATTAATTGTGCCTTACCTGTCTGAGTTTTTCCATTTCTCTGTAAGGCAGGTCTTTGTACTGCAACCGCTCACTGTGGAGCTTTGATTTGATCCTCCTCACCTCATTTGCATCGCGAAAGAGTAACTTGAACCCTAAAACAAAGAAAAATAAATTAATTTTGTCTTTGTTTTTTAGATTTTCTTTTGAACCATTGCTGTTTCTGCTCTTTATCTTTGTTTTGTTAAATTGTTAATAATCTATAAACATTTAAATTACATTTAAAAAAGGTTTCTACGTCACAATAGAAAAAGCTAGGATTTTAACTTTTCATATTTTTTATTCAGCCTCATCTAATTCTATAGTACAAATATAACCATAGCCACTCCAAGTCTCTTCTATTGATGGCAATTCTGCTGTAAAAATTTTCTGATATTGTTCAATAAAACTTCAGAGCATTAAGACAGAAGAATTGTGAACTTTATTTATTTATTTATTTCATTTCATCTTAAACTGCATCTTAACTTTACACTTGTACCATTAATAACATTATGAAAGAAAAATAATATTGTGAGCACTATATAGAAGCATCTTGGGCCCATTACCTTCAACAAATGTGTGGTGGAGCTGATAAAAACGGGGGAACCGCCTTTTGAGGAATCCTTCGTACTTGGCGTTGGCAGAAATGAGCTTTGAAGAGACATACCGACCAAAACCTCGCCTTACTTTGGATGTGGAGTAACATTGTTTACCAAGAGGCAACCTAAAAATATACAAGAGGACAGAGGATGACCTTTAAACTGTGTGTTTTGCAGTTATTTTTAGATTTTTTATGGACATACACTGAGGTATGCAATATGTTTTAGTTGAAAATGTGCAATCGAAGTGATAATAAATATGATTTCAGATGTGTTTAGGCTGGGTTAAGATATGTAGCGAAAGTTAGCTCAAGGATATCAGTGAAAACAAGGGAACAAATGAATAAAACATAATATTAATTTCACAGATTTTAACATTACCTGGTCTGACGGGACACAAACGGTGAGTAAAGGCAGTTAGTTGTCTTGTTTATCCTGAACCCACAGATTCTGGCCAAAGACAGGTGAGCGCAGAGGCTAGAGCAGGACAGCGCCATGTTGAACTGAGCACTTCCGCGTTACCGTAATGTCACGGGTACAGAGCAAACAGATATGAATTTTACCGTAATACACACATCATATCAACTTTGTCAACAAGAAAATGTCACAGTATCTTTTTAAAACTGATAAGCTGGCAATCTGCTTTGAATAAGATCAAATACGGTGATCCTTCACTTATTTGTGCATAATGTAATTGGGTGCTCAATAAAAATAAAATAATAATAATAAAAAAACACTTTTAACAAAATAATAATAATATGACTTAAACAAATATGAATAATAATAACTTTTAGAACTCAAAATATTTTGGGTTGAATCGGCCATGGAACTCTATCACGTGGAGACCGATCTCGTGAGATTTAAGAGTAGCGTGGTTTAAAAAAAAAAAGTAAAAAAGCTTAGTCCGATCAGCTAACATTTCTCCAAAAGGGTTCGTACAAAATTCTTATTAAGTAGCTAATGCAGACAATCTCTTTCTAATGTATATGTTTTAACCAGAAAAATAAGTTTAAAGACAGTACTTTTAGGTTTTTATGCTAAATGCAACTTTCCTTATAGCAACTTTCATAGCAACCTTTGCTAACAATGGCTAAAATATTAGAGGGTACTTCAATGAACTTCTGCAATGTGTAAAAAGTTAGTTTGACAAGTAAATGCATGCATCTAAATGTGGTAAAGCTTTTTATAGTTAAATTACCACTTTTAAAATACATTTGAGCAGTTTATTTTCAACCAACTACCCTAGCCAAAGTTGTGTCGCAGTGCTACCTTCGGCATTGCACTTGACCGCAGTGTTTTAGCCAACCCATGATTTGCATTTAAACTATCTTTTATTTTTAATTTACCTTTCTAGTGGGTTAAATTAAAAACAAAATGAATACGATTACATTCGGGACCACCAGTGAACCACTTCGGATTGCTGCAGCTTGGAGAGACCAATCAGCAGAGGAATTTGGTAAAAAACATAATATAAATGAATGTCATATATTTTTAATTTGAAATGACTTATTTATTGTTGTTTTTCAGATGATAGGGGCAATATTGACCCAAATCGACTTCTACAATGCCCCTTTGATAAAAATCACCAAATTAGAGCCTGCCGTTTCCCTTACCACCTCATCAAGTGTCGCAAGGTTTGTACAGTTCCTTGGATAAACAATTTAGAGAAAATGTTAGAATTGCAGATTTTGTGACAGACATTGCAATCAATTTCTATTTAAAGTCTATCTGCATTTGCATGTACAGTGTAAATGGTCTTTAACATTAGAGATCCTAATATATAAAAAAGCATGTTTACATAGGTCCTAATGATTTTATACACTACACTTCAAGGCAATCATGGGGACAGAATATTTTCTTCTCTAGAATCACCCCAAACTGGCCAATGAGCTGAAGACCTGTCCATATAACGCCTATCATCTGGTCCCGAAGCATGAGCTGAACCACCACACAGAAACTTGTGAAAACCGGATAACTTTAGACACTGTGGATGGTGAGATGAGCTAAACTCTTATTTATAATGGGTTAGGCTTTTATTTAAGGTAAATCAAAGGATGCATAATTTGAGTGGTAGAAAAGCAACAGGGTCATATGTAATCTTGAATTTGCTTTAAATGAGCATTAAGAATAACTTGAGACTACTCAAGATTCAGTAAGGGAAAAAAATACTACAGCCACAGTAACAGGATGTAAAACTGACTTTAATTTCAAAATGCACTAAAGCAGCAATGATTACTGATGACTGACACCATAGGACACAGAACAGAAAGCTAAACCCAAACTTTGGAACAGTCTCTGTGGAAATGGACAGTTACAAGATGGTCTCAAATTCACCTTTGCTGGTGTAATAAAAACAGCTCTAATGAAATGAAGCTTTGTTGTTTGCAGATGCAGTTACAAACGGTAATCATTGGCAGGTTCCAGTCAGCACATGGGTGAATCCCAACCCTATGGAGGACTGGGATGCAGGTGGGATCTTCATTTTTTCACCTTTTCCGTGTGTTTTGTTTTGTTGTATTGTGCTTATGTTCAAATGTGATTGTGAAAAACACATGTTCTGTTCCCTGTAGAAGCTGAGGATCAAGTGGTTTGTTTTGTGTGGGGTGAAAACACTGCTGTGAATGCCAGGTAAGGGCTCTCCTCTGCACACATGCTTCTATATCGGATGACTCCCTTTGGTGATCTAATTGAAGGTGTGACATACTGGCAATGGAACTTTGGCTAGCACTGTTTCCTGTGTTAGGTCTTTGTGTGTAGTTTGCATGTTCTCCACATGTCTGGGTAGGTCTCCTCTGGGTGCTGTGGTTTCCAAAAACAAACTAAAACCGTGCACAATTATAGATAAAATATTGAAATCCTGTCCCATGGTCACTGTCAAAAGTATGGCTATTATACATTTTTACATTTGCTGTTATATTGTCATCTACGACCAGAATTATATGTAATCTCAGTCTTTTTCTTCTCTTCTAATTCTGTAGACGAGAAATGAGATCCACAAATAATCTTGGACCAAGTTGTAGAGTACCCGACACCCTGCCCTGGTCAAGCTTCAAGCTGGAGTAAACTGCAGTATGCATGCTTCACTAAGTCTTTGTAAAAGTAATCAGTGTTTGTCTGTTACATTTTATATCTTAGTACTGGATACATAACATTAATGGGACTGGAGTTTTTTTTTTTTATTGCATGCCTAACTCCACAAAACCATTATAGGTTGTTTCATGCATGTTTTATTAAAATCTACTGGTGGTGTCTTAAAATCTGGGACATTTCTACATACTAAGAGCAATCATTTTATGACCTGAAACAGGACAGTAGTTTATCTAGAGAGGGAGTCTAATTACTTGTGTGTAAATTAGCCATATCATACTAATGGGGAAACCATGTTTGAAGTTCACATGTTTTTGTTTTGAAGTCTAAGGGAGTTGACTGGGAGAATGTGTTGTCAGATGGACTTTGTTGTTCTATTGCATGACTGTTAGATGGCGCTGTTGTATTAGATTGGCAGCCTCATTTCTTTATAGAACTGAGTCAGCTTTTCAGTTTGTTTAATAGCCCTGTCCTCTCCCTTATATTAAAACATTATTTGATTTGGCAGTTCCAGTTGCAGTTCTTGTCTTAAATTTGAGCTAATGTTGTGGTTTGGTTCTATAGGAGTTTGGATGACCTCTTCATCCACCTCATATAAAATCAGGCTGAATATGTAATATATTAGTACCTGTTATTGCTACTTTGCCGCTGATGTCACCAACATTCCCTGGGGGTGTGATGCTAAGTGTAACTCTCAGGCTTTATTAGACTGTACTCTTTATTTTAACATAATCTAACCAGAAAGAACTGACTTGGCTAGAACTGGAGAGCTGATTTGTGCTGTTTAATAAGCTCCTGTCAAATAACATTAAAGTCATAAGCTAGCTAGCATTAGCCAACAGTCTCACTCACTTTTTTAATAAAAATTAAACACCTAAACAGCACCATAAACGTCTTCATATTGTATTGATCACAGGCTCCGTAAATCTTATTGACAGTGTTTGCTGATCTGTGCATTGTGTCACCATGGTAACTGATGAACACTCCTTCATAGAAATACATGTATAACACCCCCAGTGTGATGTCACTGTAAAGTATATTAGTAATTTGTATTCCAGCCTGTTTCTGCATTATGACAGATGCATGATTTCTCAGTGGAAAAAAATCTCACTTTTATAATTCATGTATCAGTGACACATTCCCTCAGTAACTCTGTAGGATGGGGGCCAGGGGCCTGATTGACTGCAGGTCAGGACAGCCCAAACAGGAACAGGTGGTCTTTCCCCACCATCCCTGATTCTCCCTGTGTATGTATGGGGGTTATGTAACAGTGTTGCCCTCTGGAGGCATTGAGGTGTGATCCCATTAAAGCGGCAGAGCGTCTGGAGCACGTCTATGGGGTTTGTCGCCTCGAAGTGAAACCAAAGCCTTCCTCTTGTTTACTCTGGCTCTACATGACTGCACAATGACACGCGCACTTGCCCTTGAACCAGAGCTGGGTACAAGTAACATTTAATTTGAGTAGCCTAACAATTTAACAAGTTGTATTTCTGTGAGTATTTTTGCATACATTAGGTTAGTGTAGTGTTTTTAAAACTGTTGCAGCTCCTTCAAATGGTAATTGGACAGGTATTCAGGAGGCCTATGTCTTTGCCTTATTTAAAGTGTCCACATTTGGTCCTCTTTTTAAAAATTTCATGTTTAGAATTACAGTGGAAATAATGTAGTTCACATTTAGACCTGGTTTAGCTCTAGATTAGACCTGGAATAGATCCAGTTTTTTCAGTTCTGATACAGATTTCAATACTAGGCTATAGCTTCTGCCGATATCAGCCAGAGATTGAAAGCATTTATTTCCTTTAAACAAAAATAATATAAGAAAAAACTGACCTAGGTATGTTATGTAGTTGGAATTTATCTATCAGGTAACTACCGAACAGGTTTGTATTAATAAATGCTCAAAAATTATGAGACTTTCTGGGCTGACTATGTCTTACTTAAATAGTCTTACTATTTACTGGTCTTAATTTGACTTATTAACAAGATGTTTAGCCACTCAGCTTTGCTATTTAAAACTTATGTTATTGGAAGGACAGTAAATAAATAGTAAATAATGCACAAAATGTATTTTCAAAGGACCACAATGACTGGTGCAAGAAACACAAATGGTCAAATAATTTCATTGTCAACATAAAGCTTTTGTTGCTTACTCAGTGACTTACTCAAAGTAACCAAAACGTTTACAAGAGTACTGTTACTTCAATAAAAGTATTATCCAAGTAAGAGTAAAAGTATGCTTCTAGAATTTTTTAAAGTTACTGAAATAATTTAACTGAGTACTACCACCTCTGCTTAAGTGCACCTGTAATATTATTCTACATCAGTTGAACTGCTACTTCTGCAAATGATGTTCTGGCTTGTCTGTGAATGGAAAATCTTCAGTCAGCAACATATCGACATCAGCCTACCTCGTCCACTTTATGGAGTAACCGGAGTAATGGTGACTTTATCCTGTTCCCTGTTGCATAAGTCCAAAATATCTAGTCATCTTGTACCTATTAATATCTGTTTTAAGGTTATTACATGAGTTTATGATTCTAATTCATGTTCTTTTCTTAGTCAACTTTTGGTCGGTGTCAGGTTTGTACTCAGATGCCCATCAAAAAATGTCATAGATATTAATTGGATTTTTGTTGATGTTGGCTTTGTGTTATTGAGTGTTTGTACTTCTTTATTTAAAAGTGCATTGTGTAACTTTTCTGGTGGGGGTTGGCTACCTGAGAAGTCTTCACTGAGATAATATTTCTTTGCTTGCATGAAGATAAAAGTCTGTTACCATACTGTTAAAGATTCTAGGCAACATAATAATATTTTTGTAGAGACAAATATGGGTTGCGGACCTTAAACCAGAAAAGTTACACAGTGGACCTTTAGAGAGGTTATTGCTTTGCTTAGAATGTTCCTTGCTATAGCATTAATAATTTCTCCATGGAGAAAAGCAAATAGGTCTGTTCTGTTTTTTGTTTGTTTGTTTTGCAATAAAAACACCTGTATTTGAATAAGTGCAAGATACAGTATGTTTAATGCCATACTGTGTAAAACTCCAGACAAAGTTCACATCTCCATGGTGACAGGCTAATGATGTACCCATGAGCTTTAACCATAACCCTCGCCGATTAGATTTTATTGACATTTTACAAACAAAACTTTGATGGAGCAGCCATACCTAAAAATAGTACCTTTAATAAAAATGACATTCTCACATTTATTTATTTATTTGTTTGAAAAGGGACAATGCACATTAATCAACATCAAAACAATGTAAATGTGCTCGAGTTAGCTGATAAGAGCTAATTTGCACCAGTAGTCCCTTTGCCAGATGTCAAAAAGGCATCCTAAAAGAAAATACATTTAAAAGTTACACATCAAAAATTACACAAATGTACAATAAGATTACAAAAATACAATAAAAGTTTTAATGTTCACATATTTGCGTTATTAAAAGCCACTTTTTAGCATTCTTTTTAAAAGCAGAGAATGAGGGAGATGTTCTGACGGCTTCAGGCACAGAGTTCCACTGATGGGATGCTCTGACGGAGAAAACAGACTGACCAAATACAGTTTTTCTATGAGGAATAATGCAGTCTTCCCTCACTGCTCCTCTGGTCACTCTGCCCTCACTAGATCTGAAATTTACAAAGTCATTCAGCGAAGTCATATCTATAACAAAGTCAGCGAAGTCATAACTATAACAAATACTGATCAAAACTGAGATATTATGAGGGTTTTTCATAATTAAAAAGATACAATATTTACTTTGTTAATCACTATGGTAACAGTCCTAATGTTTCATCAGTATGAAAAACCCTTGGATAGTATTTAATGGAAGAGAAGCTCAGAATACCCAGGAATTAAACCCTTGACCTTGCTGCAATGTGGCAGAAGCACTCATGACAATGCCACCGAACTGTCCAGCTTTTAGCATTGTAAACCAATGCAGAGACTGGAGGTGTTCTTTTTTTTAATGGAAACAGCTTTTCTAATATGTTATGTATTGATACTTTGCATCTGATCTCATCAACATTTCCTGGGGGTGTGAAGCTTACTGAAAGCACTACTCTGTTAGAAGCATTGTTACCCAAGTTAAAAGTTAATATGATCTTTATTTTAACACAAAGCTGACTTGGTTAAAACTACAAGAGATAAGATGATGTGTGCACTTAAACAAAACTTTCACACATAAAATTATAATCACAAGCTAGCTAGCATTAGCCAATAATTTTTCAGTTAGGCACTCAGTTATGACCAGATTAATTTTAAAAAAGGCATTATTTTGTCAAATTGTTTAAACTGCCCGAATAATGCCTTCCTTGTACACAAATTGTTCCTGTACAAACATGTATGAATAATATGAAACACAACTCCAGCTATGTTTGTGAAGAGGAAACAACATATAGATAGCATGGATCAGACCTGATATACTTTCCAGGGTGGGCCAGTATCGGTGTCAGTGCATTCACAGTTTGCTAGTTCATAGTTCTGCTGACTGTGTTGTGCTTTAGAGTAGTACTAAGTGCTGTTACATGATATTTAGCAGTAGTAGTGTAACATACAGATATGCATTAGTCTAGTCCATGTGTACATTTGGTACAGTGCCATACGATGGACTAGTGGCGATTTGAGAGGTGCAGGGAATTCAAGAAGCTAAAAGGAGCCTGGGACATAACTTGGAGGAGGTGAACGAGGAATATTTTTTTACAGTATTTTGTAACTTATGCCAAAAATAGATTCTTGACTCAGGATTTGTGTCTGCAACTACAGTGAGGTGCACTACTGTTTGAGACGGATAGGCAAATAAAAGTTACCACATATAGTTTTCAAAAAGGTATTACAATCAAATGAATTTGGACTGCCAATTCATACACCTGAATCTAGAGGACACATGCAAGTGTTTCCTATTCTCAGAATATGGACAGGCCATGTCTCATGTGAAATCTCAGAACCTCCAAAATTCACTCACTGAGCTGCAGAGGCTGCACTAGCACTGATTGGCTGCAGGAGCTGGGATTTAAGTAGTGACCATTCAGATGAGAGAGAGGTTTAATCCAACTCAACATTGAAACTGGCAATGCAAATGAGGCGTTTGTGAGGCTTATGTGAGGCTTATTCTGCTTTGTGACTGGAAAATCATCTTAGGTCAACACACATCACAACAAAATGTTCACACAAAAGCGTTTGCTTTTCTTACGTTGTCCTCTCTTTATACACCATTCTGGCTGTCAGTAATGTTATTTGATTATTACTTGTGGCATACAAAACAGGGTTACTGTTTTGTATGTTTGTACTGTCCCCTGTGTTTGACATTCATTCATGGTAACTTCACTTGGTATTGATAAAAAAAAAAAAAATCATGTCTAAAGTTTTTGTAATTAATCAGTCCTACAATTATTATCAGTAAAAGCTTTGATTTTGATTTGAATATGGAATATCTGAATGTTGACTAGTTACCATGGTGACACAATGGACACAATATCAAATACTGCCAAAAGGTTTTTAGAAACTCAAAAAAAAAAAAAAGGGAGAGGGACTTTAATTAGTTAATAGTTCTGTTAATTAGTTAATAGCACAAATCAGTTCACCTGTTGTAATTCAGTCAGTTCGCTCTGGTCAAAATAATTAAGCTCAGCATGCTTACTGTTAGCATCACCACCTCAGGGAATGTTGATGACTGCAATGTTACATACTGTCATGACTGCAATGTTACATACTGCCTCTTTAAATCAAGTGTGATTAAACGTTTATTTTCAGTTAAAAATGTAGAAACATTTACATTGTGCAAAAACATTAATAAACATATTCACAAACGCATCAGTGAATCCACCTGATATGAGTCAATTAGCTGCTCATTTCATGATACAGTAAAACAAAAGGACGCAGTTCATACTAGGCCTGTTGCAGTAATTACAAGATTACATTTTAGGGGTCATGGCAAAAGGAGAAATTCAATTTGTCAACTGGACAAAAGTTTATTTGGTCGAATAAATTTCGCAGCTCATCCAAGCTGCTTCTTCAGTTCTGGTCAAAAGGCTGGTGGACACTTCCTTATATCTGCCTACTCTATGGAGTTGTAAATAGGCGCTAGATGGTGTCTGAGTCCTACATTTCTGTTTAAAGATGGATTATCTTTCCTAACAAAAATAGCCTCTTTAATTCCCCTCTCAAACCAGTTCTTTTCTCTGGCTAAGATCTGTACCTCACTAGTTGGAGATGAACAGCAGAGTGAGGTCCACTGCTGCTCTCTCGTCTGTGTTGGTACATCCTCTTGTGAAGTGGCTGTTTAGTTTCTCCAATGTAGTGCTCACTGTAGTCTTCATCAGTCAAATTGAATTTCTCCTTTTGCCATGGATTCTACCTGGACGACTGAGAGATTTTACACATTTTTAGGGGTCAACATCTGAGTTATAGAGTCACTTATTTTAATGGTCCTACATTACACAAAAAGACTCTTGGGAGCTTTAAGTCATATTATAATGTTGTTATTTCATCAAAAATATACTTGGAGTTATGGTTTGTTTCATTCACATGTTTGAATAACCCTATCATTAATCTATCTACATCTCCTAAACTCAAAATGTTGAGCTGTTCCAAATTCTGATGTCATGAAGCGGTAGTTTTCAAGTTATAGCTACCTTTTTGTTTAGTAGAAGTAAAAGTGTAAATGAAACAAAACACAACTACAGGTATGTTTGTGACAAAGAAACAACAATATTACCTTACAGATATGAAAACAGTGTAATATGGGCCCTTTAAGAAGCATCTACCGTTTTATACTACTGTACTACAACTATTTTCCCATGACAGGCCAAGTTCATACATTTTACCACCATACAGTAAACACACAGAGCACCATCAGGGCGGGGTCAGGGAAAGGTCAGGGGAAGGTAACGGTGGTTCAAGCCCCCTACAGTCAGAAGGCCTAGGTCGTGCCTTTGCATCAGAAAAGCTGTTGTTTTGAGGCATTCATGTGTTACTGGACAAATCTCCACAGGCTGCTTCAGTACATTCACAGTGTCCACGACATATCAGTCATGTTTTACTGTTTTACAGTATTCTCCAGTTCATTTGGTTGAAAAGGTTCAGTCTTTATGTGTTCGATTTGTCCTTTGTTCTTTATTTTTATCGTCTCTTAAAGCAACATTTTAACTTTCAGGAGTTTGCGCGTCATCTGCATCATTCCAACCATAAAACCATACTTTGGCACATTCTCCATGAAGATAGGTGAGTTTTATGCCACACTGTTGAATATTGTAGCCAAAGCAATGACATTTCCATGGAGACAAGCACGAGGAGGCTTTCCTTCAGTCTAAGTAAGAGTCAGGGTTGTGGAGATGCAAGCCCATTCAGAATAAGGATGCATGTTTTTCTATGTTTTCAGTGCAATAAGAACATTAAAAAGTATGAAAAAAACATGCTTTTATTCAAGTCTATTTCTTGGCTTAAAAAGTTACACAGTGGGGCTTTAAAAAGGAAGTGTGTCCATGAAGATTTTCTCGATGATCGGAGGAGGAGGGACCAGATCTTCAAGTTTGAGGTAAAAGATTCGCTGAAGTCCCTGAGTACAGAGAGTCCTGAGCTCGGGCAGTTTCCCTAGCAACCGTGACAGGTGTCCAGGAGGCAGGGAAAGTCCACAGGTAGAGAGGTGATCTTTGAGGCAACTGATCAACTGGTTCTGTAAGTCCTCCATTCGCTTTGAGTCCCTCAACCCAAGTCGATCTGCAGAGAAAAAAATAATTTAAAAATTATTTAGGGCTGTAAGCTGAATTCACACTCTTCTTGCAAAATATACACTTAAGCATGTTGTACCTGATTTTTACTGTCTTAAAATGTGAAAAACAGAAATAGTTCATTTTAAACCATTTGCAGTGGTCCAAAGTCATTCCTCATTTTCCATGCATTCTGAACATCCTTATTATCCACTGCACTGAGTCTATAAGCACTTTTTACAACTTTCAGAGTAACTGGCATGCTAAGGCTGCACTTCCTGAATCTTGGACAGTAAAATGCTTTATAATTTAAAGCAGACAGTACATAGCAGTCTCATGTTGACCTTAAGAGCTACTTATACAATATATCTGTACTGGGTATGACACATTTTGCTCAAATATATGGAAAAATTGGGTATATGGCCTTTAATTACAAATAAACTGTTTTTATAACATGGAGCCTGGATAAGCTGAATCTAATGATCTTACCAGTGATGAGGACGAGGGCTGCAAGACAGGAGAAAGAAGAGACATCCAGCTTCATACGATTAAGACTTTGGGAAAATTCAAGGATAGATTCGATCCAGTCTCCAAACGCTGCAACACACTGCGTTTTATGAAGCACCAGTCCATTGCAGAACACCAACTTCCCCAAGTCTGGGTTTGACCTGAAAGAGACAAACTTCAGTCATTCTTCCCTCATCATACAAAAACTGTATGTCCTGTGCTCTTACTGCTTACTTAAAAGGTATTACAATCACAACTGAACCTGGGTTACCAGTAGCCAGTGCTTTTTTAGGTTTAAACTAACTGGATTTCAGTGTTGAAACTGACAACCCAAAATGAGAGACTAATGTGAGGCTCATTCTGCTTTCTGACTGGATAATTATCCAAAAACCAAAACACCAAATTACAGCATGACCAATTTTGGCATCATGTCCAATGTTTTTTGTAATTAAGAGTAAATCAGCTTTTGAATTGTTTTCTGCAAGAACTATATTTGATTTGAACATGTTTACCTCATATCTACGGACACAGATAGGTCATGTTTATGAAATGTCGTGATTTTGAATTGTTTTAATGCAGTATACAATGTGCTATGAATAAAATGGATAGATAGGTTGTCTCTATTTGTCTCTCCTTGTAAAATCTTCACTCACCGAAAGGCTAGGCGCAGGATGAAGAGCTCTACGAAGGCGGACTCCAGGAGCAGCTCTTGGTCTTCCGGGCAGAACTCAGTGAATCCCGGGATTCTTTGAGCCCAGGTTTGAATCGCCTCCAGAGATGAGCTTAGGAGGGTGTAGAACTGCTGCACATGTTTGGCCTCTGCTTTGGTAGGGGGCGCTGTGTCGCTGTCATCATACTGAAGAGAATAAGACAGTTTACACATATGTCTCATGGATATAACCTTTAGTTATTTCAAGTGCATATGTCAGGTTAGACTAATAATTTCACAAAAATATTGTTAACATAATTAGATTTGACTAAAAAGCATATATAATTTTATTTCCTGGTTGGACACAGGCAGCAAATCTCACATACTTAGAGGTAATTAACTGTTACCTAGCAATACCTTACACCTTTATTTTGTTAAATGAAAAACACCTCTCTTGCGCATAAATTGTCCCTGCATTTTGGATGGAATTTTCTGTGTTGATGACATACGTAGACATATTCTCTTTTAGAGCTCACCACAACTTCCTGTATTTTTGTAGCCGACTTTTCTTCTCAACTTTCTTTTCCACAAGGTGACACTTAATTGACGTAAAGCTATGGGACATATTTACCATAGGTACTATCGATAGATCCATGGTACTATCCCACTAAACCAAGTCATAAGTAGAAAAACCTAAACCTCTTTTTGTATTTGTATATACCTTGGAATGGTCCAGTTTTCCGATGCTGGGGTTAGAGTCAATGTGTGCTCTGACGAGTGACGCGATCATGTTCACGGGAGAGGGAGCCACAGGGGGGTCCGGGACCACTTTAGGCTTTGAAGGAAGCCGACCTCTGCGACCTTTTAAACTGTCTGTCCTCACCACTGCAAAACATAAAATTATGATTATTATTACCTATTCAAACTGCTTAATCAAAGTTAAGCATAAGTTATCTTTACACGCACACCAAAATCTGATCAGTATTTGATTTCTGGAGTTAAAAGACTAATGAAGAACAGAGGCTGTGGTTTCATGTACACTCTAAATCTGTTTATTAGCAGATTTTTTTTTGTTATAAAATTATTTAAATATCAATATTTCTTTCTGATCATGGTCCTTCTGATCACTCACATCAGATTGTGTGGTTTGCATGTTATTTACATGATTTTAAATGTCCAGAAATCATATTATAATCAGATTTTGATGTGCATGTAAACATAGCCATTTAGCCACTTGATGTAAAGTTATTTCTTTCCAATTGTTAACACCTGGCTTTGATAAGGAGAATGTATGCAAAATAGAGGCTAAATACATGGCAAAGATGAAAGAGAAAATGTTAAAGATTGAAAGAGTTATTTTAAAGTTAATTGCAGTTCATCTTCCAAATATAAAAGTTACTCTAAAAGACAATTATTTAACTGACCCATGCCACCAGGTGTGTTTGCTAATTTTATTTCTCTTGCGCGTATTACCACACACCACAGATCAGATCTAAATACTGGGTTTTAGATTACTTCTGTTATCTGATTTTTACGCAGTACATCAACTTACCTTCTTTAACCATCCCCACAGTGAGGCACTTCTGAAAGCGACAGAATTGGCAGCGGTTTCTCCTCCTCTTGTCCACGGGGCAGTCCTTATTGGCCAAACACACGTATTTGGAGTTTTTCTGTACGGTCCTCTGTGGGGTTAAACATAGGTTAGCTATGGTAGAATGTACAAGCAGAGTGTAAGCCTATGGGTTTCAGAATGATGAAAAATTAGGACCACTGCCATACCGATTAACAATTTAAAACAGAATAAGTGGTTATTATAAAGTTAGTTGGTATAAAAAAGAGAATGCAGAGGAGTAGAGGAGATAGTGTAAAAAAGTAGGAAAAAGTAAGACTATTACCATAGCAACAGACAAGTAAAAACTTTTCTTTTGAATGGCTTTCGAGGTATGTGCTTTCCTGTCATTTATTATATGTGATTATGTAAATTTTACATTTTTCTTGAACTTGAAATAAAAATGAATCAGTGAATCAATCAAAAGTCCTAAAAAATGTGCCTCTAACAGAAAACTGAAGCCAAAGCAATCTGAAGTTATTTACCTTGAAAAAACCTTTGCATCCTTCACAGGTGCGTACTCCATAATGTTGACAGGAAGCATTGTCTCCACAAACTGCACACGAACCTTCATTTGGGTTTTTCACTTTGGGAGAGGAGCTTTCTTCTTGTTGTTCGGTACCATCCAAGTTACAGTGCTCCATTGCCATAGCAGGATATGTCATAGAAACACCGTGAGGATGGGGTAAACAAAACGCCTCACGATCTTGAATATTGTGATGGGATTGTCCGAAATTTGGGGAAAACTGCTCTATTGACTCCGGAGTGAAAGAGAAAAATGAAGGTGTGTGCGATGTTGCAGTGTCTTCTACCCCCCAGTATCCCGGAGTGGGTGAGTATGGGTCAAATGCTGAATCCCAAAACGAGACCGACTGGGTTAAATAACCTGGCGTAGAAGGGGTCGAAGTGGAGGCAGGGCTACTGTAATAGTCAGAACCAACTGGAGACATTGCTTCTTTGGGATAACCCACAGGAACACCAGGGTAGCATCCAAAAACCTTAAGATCCTCTAGTTTAAATGGGGTATCGCTGACTGATGGGGCATTTAGAGGGGCAGGGGCAGAACTGGTGGTGAACTGGCATGAGTAGGTCTCAAAGTCAGGTTGCATCAAGGAGCTGATAGCAGGTAAACACGGAGAGGAGATGGGGTCTTGGGGGCTGCACGTGTCTGGTGAAATCCGAGACATAAATTCTGAAGGCTCTAGACTGAACATGTTGTGGTCGTAAGGCGATGAGACAAGCCGAGGGTAAACACAAGTCATAGCTCCAAAAGCTGCAAGAGAGAAAGAAAGACAACATATTAGAGTTGTTAAACGTATCAAAAATCTGACACTAATCAATACAAAAACTAGTATAGAAACTAAATGCTCATTTAAACAGGTATCGATACTAAAAAAGACACAGAACAGAAATTAATCTTTTCTGAATAGCTTTGGAATGATCTTGAGTTGTATCAGAACAAGTATAAGACTACAGACCCCCCATGGACCACTATGGAACCTACCTGGACCACTGAGGGATTACACACATATAAGGTCAGTACTGCAATTTAATGATGAAAATGACATTCTATTGTCTAAATAAAGTGTTGTTATCATTGCAGTATCTACAACATATAGTTAAAGCTGCACTATGTAACTTTTTAGATTCTGAGTCTGCCACCTATTTCTATGTAAAGCAAGGTATTACTAGTTTATTTGTAGGGCATAATTTGTACAAGTTCCACAAAATTGTACTTTACAGAATGACAATGGCATTAAAGTCACAATACAAACAAATAAATACATAAATAATCATGATAAACATATCATATAACTTTACATAATAGATTTGCCACAATTTGCCACTTATGGCATTAAACATACTATCTCCATTTAGACAGGCCATGCTTCAGTCATGCATCAAAAGTGAAAACTGTTTCACTTTTCAACTTTTCTTAAGTTATCAAAACAACAATGTGTGAAAATCATATTACCAAAATTACATCGCAAAATAAATTGTTACTACTAGACAGTATACCAGTTAAGAAGCATTAACTTTAAACTTGCAGGCAGCAAAAATGACATGGCAACATTTTATTTATTTTTTTTTTAGAAAGTTGCAACTTCAAGGATAAAGCATTGAACACTGCAACAACGTGTGGTTACAATTTGGAGAACTTGCAGCATTGTTTTAAATGTTGAACTAAGTAAAACAATAGCATAGAACTAACCAGTAAGTCGTATTATTAGCTGGCATGGCATAGACCTATGATTGTCCTCCTGTAATACAGATGTTATATGAGTCTCTAGCAAATACCAAAACTGCAACTTTTGTCCCCAAATTTTTCACGTGGACTTGCCTATCCATTACTGTGTCCTGCTGTCTACTTGTTATGATAACATTACCGCACAAAACATACATTTAACAAGCCTGTCTTTAATGATCATATACTTATGATTAACCTACAAATCGTACATAAAATATATATTTCTTACCTGATGAATTGGTAAAGTTATGGTAACCTGTTCAACAACCGATCATCTCCTGTTACGACTCTCCAGCTGAGTGCCGGTCTCACCTCTCCAAACTCATTTATAGTATGTTTTTGACTGTACCCATGACGCGGACACGTTTCCATACAAGGCAACTCGGTAGGCGGGGAGATTTCCACGCTTCGGCCAATCACAACTCGTCTTGTGTAGAACAGCCGCGCAATGACGCACGCCGGGATTCCGTTGACGCGCGTGAAGCGAAGAACCACAGTATTGTCTGCCCTCTCATTCACTCACCCGCCTCACACGATGATACGGCTGGTTGTAGTTTGGGCAGAAGTGACACCAGTTTAAAACCTACTCATTGCTTTTGAATAGAAATTGAGAAGAACAAAAAATAGCCAATATCGCAAGGTTCCACTGAGATGACATAAGGATAATGAGATTGGGGCAAGTAAAGTTAAACTGGCAATTTCTGCATCTTTATGCAAACAGTTGCAACCCTCATGCACATTTGCAATTACAATGTTGTTATATATAAGCACTGCAGTAAAAAAAAGAATGCAAATTGTGCTCTCTCGTTCGAATAAATTAGTAGTAGCCGAGTAGTAGTAGTAGCATTAGTAGTGGTAGTAGCAGCAGTAGTAGTAGTAGTAGTAGTAGTAGTAGTAGTAGTAGTAGTAGTAGTAGTAGTAGTAGTAATAGTAGTAGTAATGTGAGACCTTGAACGTTGGAACTAGTATAAATAAAAAGAATAGCATTATACACTAACATTAACAAATAACATGAGCCTGCAGGGCTGCAGGCTCGTTATGTGGCATCTAAAAGCCAGGCAAGCCCATGTAATCACAATGTAGAATCTGAGAAGAACTGATAAGCGTTATGAGCTTTTTAAAGAGAAACAACTGGGTTACTCTTACAGATAAAATGGAAAGATGCATGGATATTATCAATAAAGGAAGTAGCCAGAGGAAAATAGATAAAAAATAACATGTTTGGTAAATGTGAAATTGCATGAAATAAAAGATAACTTATTACAGAGAATTCCATCTAAATACAAGTGTAATAATTAAATATGTCACTTGGGGCTATAGTGACCTTAGATTGCATAGATTGAATTAGTGACACTGTTGCTGACCTAAATAGCATTTTACACCTGAGAGCTATATTATTTCACAAATATTTTATGTATATGAATAGCAAAATCTTTATATTAGATTTTTGTATTTCTCAAAATTTGAGGTAAACGATCAATCAACCATGCATCTTCACCAGGTCTAGACCAGGACTAGAACAGGACCAAACCAAGTCTACACCAAGACTTAACTGGGTTCAAACTTGGAAAAGAGTGTGAATTCAGTCTTGTATTTTCCTCTGTAGCTACAAGTCTCATTCATATTACTTGACCAAATAGTAGGAAGTAGTTTACATGCAGTCTGTCAGTTACTATGAGGAAGTGGCACACTGAGTTCTGCAGTCATTGCTTCGAGTTGCACCTGCTACAATGGGCTCAAGGGCGCAAATCGAAACAATCCAAGGGTGCACAAGTCAATGACAACCACATGTTTCAACCTCTATTTAAGTCCTGCTAAAAGTTCTAATTTAGTCCTATAGTTTGGGCCTGGTTTAGACCTGTTTTAAACTTGGTTTAGACCTGGTTTAGTCTTGGTTTAGACCTGGTTTAACAGCTAGTTTAGTTGAGGTTTAGTCCTGGATCGGTCACAGATTTGTACTCCATAAATGTTTTTTTTCTTACTTGATTTTAATTTTTTTTCATCTAAGGCTACTTGAACACACACCACATTAAAACTAGAAGTAAACACAGAACTAAACCAAGACTAAAACAGGACTAAACCAAATCTACGTCAGAACAGGACCAAACCAGGTCTACATCAAAACGTGGCCAAACCATGATCAAACCAAGACCGATGCATCCTCTTAGTTTAGATCTGATCTAATCCTGTTTTTGATCTTGTTTAGTCTGGATTTAGTCCCTGGTTAGTCCTGTTTTAGACCTGCTCAAGATGCAGTGAATATTGAACCTTATAGTTTAGTTAGTTAGTTTTTATCCTCAAATAAGTCCTGGCTCAATCATGCTTTATGAGTAGTTAATGCATGGCTTGAATGTGGTTATTTATTTATTTTTTTTATCCAGTCTAGTCCTGGTTTAAATTAAATGTCACCTTTGTCCTATTTTAGTCCTGCTTTAGTCCTGGTCTAGTTCTGTTTTTTTCTGTCATCATCAGTTAGCATATAAACCTCTATAACCTCTTTGGTGGGTGCTAAAATTTCTCTTACACCAGGCACACCCACTGATGTTCTCTGTTTCTGCATGACTATGGACTCCTGTGACGTCATCCCCCACTCATGGGTCCCCCTGTCGGGTGCCCCCTCCACATTCTTATCAACGCAGGACAATCTCACTCTCGTATTACACTACACTCACTGGAACATTTCCTTTGGCACAGACCAGCTCACCCCACCACACACATTCAGAGATTATTTTGATTATACTAAGAGGCAAGGCATGACTCTGCACCTGTTACTTTATTAGTAAGCTATTTTTGAATTGAAACATAGATAGATGCTGTTACCTCATCAAAAACACACCTGTAGTTGTGTTTTGTTTCATTCGTGCATGTTTGAGTAATCCTGGTTTACTAGTCTGTCTCCAAAGATCAAAATGCTCTGTTCCACCATGTGATGTCATGAAGCAATAGTTTTCAAGTTAACAGCTACTTTTTACATTTTGTTGAGTAGAGATTGCCAATTCCAGTGCTGAAATCATTCAAATGATTCTAGTGAAGGTATATGGAGTTTAAAAAAAACACAGTGGAACACTTCCTGTATTACTACATGACATCACACAGTGGAACAGAGTGTTGTCTGTCTGAGAGAAGAACTGAGTCTAAATATGCAGGGTTTGTGTGTAAAACGTGTGAATGAAAGAAAACACAACTCCAGGTATGTTTTAATGAAATAACATTATAACAGATCAAAACGTATTACAGACCCTTTAAAGATTTTTGGTCCATAAAGCAATAGAGACATTCAGAAAATTTTCAAATCCAGTAAGTGATCTGAGACACGTTGCATCTTAGTGTGTGTGCTGTGACCAGACCCACATTGTCCACATGACTATATAAGGTCTAAATTTGGGCTAATAAATCTAATACTGATTACACGTTAACAGTAAATAGTAGTAGGAGGACAAAATGTGGATAAAATGTACACATGTTCTAACTGTATAGGACCTTGTAGAGGACCTAACATGCTCTATAAGGTACCAGATTACCTTCGGAAGTACGCGTTCCACTGTCCTAGGTCATATACTGCCTACTGCATATACTAGATAGTGGAGCAGAAACCTTCCATTCTATTCTTGTCATACAGAAGATGTTTTGTGCACTGTTTTACAAGCTCTCCTCTCTATACATGCCTTTGTTGATGGGGAAAGTCTGCTGGGCAGTTGAGATGAGCTGCAGATAACTCTCTTGATTATCAGCCTGAAATGTAAAAGAGGCAGGACACACAACATCAGTCTAAGATTTGCATTTCCTTTGTTCCTATTGGACACATTGAACTCTTCCAGTGAATTATTTTTAGAAGTACTGTCACTACAAGTAAAAAAAAAATCATCTACCATACCAACCTCAATAACAGTTTTGGTGTGAGACAGACTTGATGTTAAAGTTATGAATTAAAGGTCCGGTATTACATTAAATTAACTCTTGTGAGCTTTAAGCCATGTTAGAATGCTGCCTCATCAAAAACAAACTTGGAGTTGTGTTTCGTTTTCATTCACACAAACAAAACACAACTCTTTTATTATTATTATTATTATTTGTCTGATTATATCTCCAAAGCTCAAAATAATCTTCCACTTTGTGATGTCATGTTTATTTATTTATTTATTTTTAAGTTAACAGCTACATTTTACATTTTGTTCCATAGAGATTGGCAATTCTACTTCTGAAATGATTTTAGTGAAGGTGTATCTAGTTTAAAAAGGCAGTGGAGCACTTCCCGTATTACCACATGACATCACAAGAGTGTTTTCTGTTTGAGAGAAGAACACAGCCAACAAATATGCACGGTTTGTGTATTAACATCCAAAAAAACAAAAAAACTAACAAACAAAACATAGATCTGAAAATAGCGTATATGGGCCCTTCCAATTTTTTATTGCATTGCAATAGGGATACAGCTAATGATGATCTGGTTAAAATGGTCTATTCAATTATTCAACATTTTTTATATTATATTTATATTTTTATATTTATATTTATTATTTTTAAAATATTCATAATGTGTTAGAATTTGTGGCCATGTAGCTGAGAGTTATGGTAGATAGGTAAGGTAAACAACACAACTTCTTAAAGCCCTATCCAAAATACCCCAAGGGTACTACTACTCACAAGTCACATGTTATATAATATTATACTTAGAAAGAGTTACAGACAAGATGTTCCTTTCTCAAAGTACAAACTTACAGTCCCTTTGACGGATGATTTGAGTGGGAACAACACCTGCCTGTTCCAGTTTGTGTTTGACAGAGCTCATATTTTCACCCATGGAGCTGTGGACAGAAGGTCATGAGGAGGAGAGAGGCGGGTCAGTAACTCCAAGCTCAAGACAAACTGCTCTAACATGGACCACCACCTGTATTTTATTTTATATGTCTCCCTCTCACTTCAATGCATTAAGTCCTAGCCTAAACCCACCAAAGATAAAAAGAGAGAAGATTAATTAAATGTATCTTTTACACACAAATCAATAATTTAAAGGTGCACTATGTCATTTTTTCTGGAGGAGAGTCCATCACCTGCTTATCGCCATGGAAATGTTATTGCTTTGTCTGGAATGTCCCAAAGTTCGGCATAGCACTTATATGTGTTGGGCATTTATTCAGTCACAAGTGGTCAATAATACCCTGAAAAAAAAAAAAAAAAAGCATTCTTACTACAAGTGGAGTCTCCTATCCACAGATCTAACCAGAATCTTGACTTGATGGGGTCAACTGTGTCTCAATGGAAGTTAATCATTTTACTGTGGGAACATATAGGCAAAGCAATAACATCTACGTGGATACTATC